CGTTAACTCGTTTTGTAATGTAATTTAATGCCAAGGTACGAAAACACAAAGTATAGAGTTATAAATGTACAATAAAATTAGATTAAAAAAAAACCTTTGCTAGATTTGCAATGCTAGTAACTGTGGAAATGCATCATCACAGTCTGCGAAAAGGGTCCATTTTATCATAACTAAGGAGCATTCCAAACTCAAAGTAAATAAAATATATACATGATTCATATAAAGCATATAAATTCAATGAAAATTCCCTTCAAAGTTTTTACTAGAAAATCTTTGTTGCTAATCCATCAGCAATTATAGCAACAAACGGCTTACACTCCCAACCATTTGATATCTTGAGAGGAACGAGGCAAGGATGCCCCCTCTCACCAATGTTATTTGCATTGTCCCTCGAGCCTCTAGCTAAAAAAATAAGACAAGATCAAATTTGTGCCATTTCAATTAAGGATACCCAACATGCAATATCTCTCTATGCAGATTACATTTTACTGTATTTTTCAGATTTTGGTAAAATTCCAAACATACTTGAAACATTTAATTGTTTTGGGAAATTTTCTGGATATAGGATCAATTGGTCCAAATCATCTTTTCTACCATTAAATAAAAAAGATCAGAGTACCGTGATAACAATGAATCAGTGACAATCATCACAAATCAGATAACTTTCCTAGGGATTTTTATACGGCCTTCTCTAAAAGAAATTGTACATATAAATTATGATAAAGTCTTTCAAAAGCTTAAAAGAGAAATTGACAGATGGAGGACACTTCCTGCATCATTGCAATCCAGAGTCTCGACTGTAAAGATGAATATATTACCTAGGGTTAATTTTCTTAGTACCATGATTCCTTTGCCACCTCTTTTAAAATGGTGGAAAAGACTTGACTCTTTAATTCGCACTTTTCTCTGGAATGGCAAACACCCAAAGTTAAAATTGGCTACACTGCAGCGTACAAAAATGGAGGGAGGTCTCTCCCTTCCCAATTTTGAGCTATATCATAAAGCATTCCAACTGCGTGCAGTTAAGACATGGTTTGATTCTACAACTTTCACACCTTGTAGAGAAATAGAAGCAGCAATTGTCAGACCAATTAGACTTGAAGATGTACATTTCTCTGGACTCTCTTTAAAGTACTGCAAACAATCATTCGGCCCCATTGTAACAAACACCATTAACACTTTCAGAGCAGTGGAGAATTTATTAAGTTACAAGAACAAATGGCACCTACAGACTCCCTTATGGCGTAATAGGACCATTAAATGTGGTTCAGAACCATTCAGATCTGAACAGTGGTCAAAGCAGGGAATAAGGATTCTTGCTGACATATGGGATGATAATGGCATGCTTAGCTTTCAAAATATAGTTGCATCTTTTAATGTACCTGCATCATCCTTTTTTTTTTTGTTCTTGCAATTACGTTCAGCCCTCAGAGCATATGGAGTCCCTTGGCAATTAGGTTCAGCCCTCAGAGCATATGGAGTCCCTTGGGGGTCAGCTCTAGAAGCACATCCAGTTCAGATTTGGCTCTCTAATCCTTCTCAACAAAATGTAGTGACTGCTGTCTCATTTTCTGGATATAGGATCAATTGGTCCAAATCATCTCTTCTACCATTAAATAAAAAAGCTCAGAGTATCGTGATAACAACAACTTACATGATCTGGGTAAGGGAGCTATCTGTGGATCAGATTGATTGGGAGACTGTATGGAAAAATATATTCTGTGCGTCAAAAAATCCAAACCACCAATTAATTCATTTCAAATTTTGTCATAGATTGTACTGGACACCAAAGAAACGTTTCCTCATTAAATCATCTCCTAGTCCCCACTGTACCTTTTGTCCCTACCAACAAGTGGGAACAGTCATGCATATGGTGTGGGAATGTGAAAAATTTTTAAGTTTTGGGAATAAATCTCATCAATACTGTCTGATATGATAGGAAAAGATATACCAGTGCAACCAGTTGTACTTCTTCTAAATGATGATTCCAGGTTAGGTTTCACAGAGTTACAAAGGAAGATCTGGCTGGCAGGACTAACATCTGCCAAAAAGATAATTGCACAAAGATGGTTCCCTCCCCATACTTTATCTGTGCGACAATGGCTACTTCAGTTTCATGATATAGTAATGTTAGAACTCTCAACAGCCAGAATAAACAAAGCTAGAACCTCAACCCTTGAGGCATGGAAAGCTGTTTCAGATGGACTGACAGAAATGCTTCAAGATGGTACAATTTAATTTGGGGTATAATTTGGTTTTTCAAACCTCTGATGATCTAGGTGCTACTCTACTTATCCTGAGTTTGTTATGTTGGTGACATTATTTATGTAATTTGATTTGATTGCAATATATTGTAATGTGGCCTGGACCGCTGGGGTTTGTTTATTGTGGAGATGATTTTGGATAATTGTATATGACCCTATATATGTAAAATCAATAAAAAATGTATCCCAAAAAAAAAGAAAAGCTTTGTTGCTCTGTGAGCAACATGCCTTGTGAAGTGGATGTTCAGTGCAAGAATAAAACTGTCTTGTTGCATTGCACTTGGTATGTGTGTATATGTGTGTTATTGTTCATCCTCTTGCGCTGTGACTCTCCTCTCTGCTGCCAGGCCAAAGCAGAAGTTCTCACATGGCCAAAGCCCTTAGTCACATGGCCTGGGCATGTGCCACATAGCACTAGCAGTCAATGCTAAAGCTTTTCCCCTTTAACACAGATAAAGGACAGTTTAAAAAACAACAGGAGAGAGACGGAGACCTGAGGCCAAGAGCTTGAAGATTTTAATTGAAACCGAGAACCTGAAAAAGGACTGCAGGGGAATCGATGTGAGAAACTGAGGAAGGTCAAAAGAGGAGAGAGAGAGAGAGAGGCAGAGCCTCACTGCCACACTGGCTGCAGCTGAATTGCACGGTCATCTTCCCAGCTGCCCCTGTACATACATTGACATCAGCTTAGCTTTAAGCCACACATCAGGAAAGACAGAGAGGGAGGGAGAGGGAAGATTGTGTGTGTATAGATGTGTGTGTTTTGTTAGTGTAACACTGCAGGAACAAGAGGGAGGGGTCCTTTCCCAGCTGTTGCAGCGTTTGCACATGGTTTATGACACTGCAGTAAGCGTAGCTCAATCCCTCTTCTAACATCTGCTGAGGGTCAAAAGAGAACCTTGGAAATTGGGTTGAAGAATGCAGTCAGGCTTCTGATTTATATGCTTTAATATAAAGACGGATCTTAATTTCTTCTACCAAGCACAGCTCATTTTTGCTGCTCAAAGCTAGAATTTGATAAAGATTCTTGATTGGTGAAATCATGCCTTTCACATCTTTCACCTTTAGGGCTACTGCATAATACAGCGTGCTATCCTCTGCAGCCTACATTTCAAACAGCAGCATCAGTCATACTGTTGCCATGGTGAGATATTAATTGCTTTATTTCAAAAACATTCACGCTGGCGAGCATTGAGATACACAACATTACAATAGCAGCTGAAGGAAGTGTAAATTGGTCATTTTTGTGGCATCTTAAGCTTGCAAATCTTTTGAATTTTTGTCAAAGCTAAAATTGAGGTCACGTCGTTTTCTTCAATCCTTGAACAGCATGTGAAATAACGCAAAACAACTGATTGCATCACCTGCGGTGACGTCTAGCATGCAACTAGAGTGCAGATGTGTCTGACAGAACAACATTGTGAAGGTAGCTGTCTTTTAATCCTCTGAGCAGCACTTGTCCTTCTGCAAGATGACCTTGCGCGCGGTATCTTGTGACAGACCCACAGACAGACTGATGAAAGGAAAGACCACAAATGGTTATTCAGGTCCCAGCTCTGCCTGGTTTCTGGGAAACAGAAAGTGAGTGATGTCAATGATGGATGCATTTTAAACACAGCTGATTCATTTGTGGCTGTTTTGATTTGCATCTTTAAATACATGGCATAAAAGCCTTGCATGCAAGGGCAATTATTATATTCTTAGACTAATTGCAATGTTATTGTTTAATTTATGAAAACTGTATGCTATCTGAAATGTTTTGTATATTAACATTTCACATGCAAGTATGCTAACGCTGCACAGACGTGGTTAAATTTGGACAAAGCATGTAATGTTGATTTGATCTATTCCCATTTCAGTAGACAGACCAAATGTGTCAGTTCTCCTGCAGATAAATCATTAGTCAGTGTACAACAAACTATACTATGTATAAAATGCAGTGGATGTCAAACTCCATTTTAATCCAATGCTGTAGAAAAATGGATTGATTTTGATCTGGTCTAGGCATGAATAGTCAAGCGCTAAAACTCAATTACAGGCTGAAAATAGTAGCAGCTTACATTAATGGGATTGCAGGCTGCAGTGAGCACTAGAACTGGCCTACTGAAGGCATCCCGGAGACTCCAAACCCATCATTAAAAAGATATAGACTATGTCTGCCCATAAGTAAAAGCAATGTGCAGACTAAAAAACAAGGCAGGAATCTGTGGACCATCATCAGATACTTCTCTTTAAAACATGATAGAAAATGTAGATTTTTCATAATGTCAGTGGAAGCTGTGAAGCATGCATTTTCATGACCAAGATAAGTTCTTACAAACATCTCATTATTCTTTCTCAACTGCTTTTTCTATATAGACCTATACCAATGTGGCAACACATATAGGATAATAATTACAAAGAAGCTGCTTATTTATTTATAAACTACACATGTAGATTCATTACAAGCATTTTATTTCGTAGGTATTATTGTTATATATTTTATTGTTTAAAGGGATTTGATAAATGTCTAAGAGTGTAGTGTAGACTGCAAATATTTAAACATTTCAAAACCGGTCGTATAAGGTATTTACATTCTGGGCAGGTACAGTCACCCTTCTCTGTGTGACAGAAAGTAACTGGTTGAGAAAGAGGTGTGGTTGCGATTCTCTTGTCCAATCAAATGCCGAGTAGACTCGAACCTGGGCGGAGATTCTACTATACAAGGGCGGGGTTAAAGACGGAAGTTCAACCGGATTGGTTGGTCGATTGCAACACTCACAAACCATGGTCATCTGCAACCTGTCCTTGCGACTTGGAAACGTAAGAAAACCTGTGTCATTCTCAGTGTAGATTCTGAAAATTAACATCCAAAATGTGTCGAGCGTATATTATTGTCCGACGATAATGCGTGATTGTTTTCAATCGCTGTCTTGATTATAACGCCGACTGTGATGCACGGTGACATTAAGCAACCAGAACACGAACGCTGTCGTTTGCACTGTGCGATCTGATACAATCTAGCGTTGCATACGAAGCAAATGTATCCGAGATCCACAGAGTAGCGTTTGGCATCACAACCGTAGGATTTAATCGACGCGTCAATGTAAATTTGAGGATTTATAAAGTAAAATTTGGACCGAAGGGGACACTTCCCCTATCGCACATAGACTGAAACGCCATCAACATTTTCCTGTATTTAAATGGTTGAGAGAAAGGAGGTCATTGCTGAAATAAGAACGCCGGTAGGTCAGTTGCATTTTCTTGAAACATTTGCGATGACAATGCTTTGAAAATGCGTGCGTGAAAATCCTCCGCCGTGCTGAATTATTAGATAAGGTGGCCTGTGTCATGATGACTTGTGATATGTTAAAACACGACCCTGTTTTTGCTTCGAAGAAACGTTGTCGATGAAATCAACGGTGCACTGCCTACGGCGTTTCTCATTGCACCGTATTTTCCTCTTGATTTCATTAAGATTGAGAGCAAAGTGCGTAAATCCATGATAGAACCGTTTAATGTGTGTGTGACTGTGAATGATTGCAATGGGTGCAAGTGTAAAAGTGAACAGAGAATGCCTAATGGTTGGATGATTTGATTCATTAGCTGTTTAGTATTGTGAATATTTTCCATCTCTCTTTTTCTCACACAAGGGTATTAAGAGAAACTGAGGGAATTTACACACACAAGTGAAGATTTACTCGATTAGGCTACATAAATGGGGGATTACGGCTTTCTGGTTAAAAACAATGCTGCAAATAAATCCCTTTTTCCGGTAAGAATTCATCCACACCTGCAGCATCCGGTTCACCACCAGACAGCACCTCCAAGCCCCCCGGATTTCATCGGCAACAACAACACTACCAATGGTGGAAGTGTTGGGTCTGCTTGGCTTTTCCCAGCTGTGACGACCCACTCTAACATGCAAGATGATATTTTGGAGTCTGAGACGTCCAAGGCTCCGCAACCTCAACAAGAAAGTCAAGAAGGACAAGACAAGCAGACGCTCTCTCCGCCAGGTCACCAGGAAGTACCAGGAATCATATCGGAGTTGGACAACACCATGCCAGAGGAGAACCAGCTGGAGAAAGGGACCATGGAGAACGCTAACGGAAAAGAGGCGCTGCGGCTTGAATCTCCAGTGTTATCAGGGTTTGACTATCAGGAGATGTCTGGTATTGGTACTTTAGCACAGTCTAGTAGCTCTTCTTCATCGTCCCTTACTGGCTTCAGCCGCTGGTCAACAGCTATACCCCCCAACCCTTCCACCTTAATCGAAGAGGTTGACTTTTTCAATCAGGCTGCTACTACTAACAATGCTCCTCCTCCGCTGCTATTTCAAAGTTTCTCTCATCACACCAGTACAGGATTTGGGGGGAATTTCTCCCACCAGATAGGGCCTCTATCTCAGCATCATTCATCTCCTCATCCCCACTTCCAGCACCCTCATAATCAGCACCGCAGGTCCTCAGCCAGCCCACATCCACCTCCCTTCTCCCACCGCAGTGCTGCTTTCAGCCAGTTGCCCCATTTGGGGAATAACCTAAGCAAGCCTCCTTCCCCTTGGGGTAGCTATCAGAGCCCCTCGTCCACCCCATCTTCTACTTCATGGAGCCCAGGTGGAGGGTATGGAGGCTGGGGAAGCTCTCAGGGACGGGAGTATCGCCGAGGGCTGAACGGAGGGGTCAATCCCCTTAACTCGATCTCTCCTTTAAAGAAGTCTTTCCCAAATAACCAGACTCCAACTCCGAAGTATCCCCGCTTCAACACAAAACCCTGGATGGAGGATACCATAAACCGCAACGATAGCATCTTTCCATTTCAGGTAACTAAAACTCAATCTCCCCTAATTATCAGCTATTGATGTTTTTAATAGAGGAACATATTGTTTAGAGGTAATATGGTTGCAAAGATGTGTGTGTGTGTGTGTGAGTGTGTATTCGGGATGAGATGAAAACAAATCTGTTGGGTTTTTTTCTTTCTGCATTTTCTCCCTTTGGCCTAACCTAATCTGATAGTGACAAAGCGCTCATGTGGTCTGTTTGTTAGGTAATTGTGATAGATCAAAGCTCAGTTGAGTAATGCGGTGCTGTTGCTCCACTTTTGCAAGCTGTGAATGTCGCCAATATAAAAAGACTTGGATGAGTGAGTCAAAATCAGGGGATGTCACAAGCACAGGCAACAGGAGGGGAACTGGAAAGTCTGATACTCTGATATAACCACTTATGTCAACACAATAATCAGTTATTCCAGATATTAACATTCACAAATACTAGGGACCTTTCCAAATTTAGTCAAAGAAGCTATTCTTATTACTTCCGTATCTATCATAGATTTAATAACAGTTTAAGACCAACAGATGATTTGATAAACAGAATCTTGTGATTTGAATTTGACTACCTTTAGAACATAATTGCTTATCTAGCAATTATTTGTAGTACCGTATTGACCCGAATATAAGACGATGTTTTTTTTCTTGGAAATACATCTGAAAAAACGTGGTCGTCTTATATTCAGGGTCTAGACTTTGACATGTCAATAATACACCCACAACAATAGGTGGCGCCAAATACGCATAAAACGAGTGTGCCATGAAATACGTAATGTAATGTGTGTTGTAAAGATCGCGAGTAAAAACAAAAGAAAAAGAAAAGCTTACAGGTGCATGAGTCGTGACTGTCACGTTAGCCTGATGGGACCAAACTCCCTTTGTGATTTTAAAACGTAAGACAGTACCCAGATTTGAAGACTACAGTAAGATTTAACTTCTACTGTTAATAAGATTTTGGTAGGCTACTATTAGATGGATAGCCTAAATGTCCTAATTCAGATGGGATACCTGTTTTTTTTTAAATGGTATATCAAAAAGTGTATATTTTTTAAATGTGATTGTTGGTACATTTGACCAGTTTTTACCATATTTTCAAAACAAAAATTATGCAATATAAAAAAATATGCAATATAAAAATAATTGAAGACAAAATGTGTTTTACTGAGAAAAAACAAGATTTGGTTTTTAAAAAAAGGTACATCTGGAAAAAAGGGGGGTCATCTTATAATCAGGGTCGTCTTATATTCGGGCAAATACGGTATATGCTGTCTATTGCTGATGATCGCATTATTTTTCATATGCATCTGTTTACATAAGAGATCGCTGGTTTCTCCGTCCTGTTCACGTGTGTTTTTGTTCGGGAGGTTTTGTACTCGTTCAGAAGATGCGTAATAGCGCCCCCAAGTGTATAACAGTGAAAACACGGAAAGCCGTAAAAACATCTGGAAATAGGGGGGCCGTCTTATAATCAGGGTTGTCTTATATTCGGGCCAATACGGTAATTTTGTTTTTAATTCGAGTATCGGTTCCAGTAAAAATGCAGATGATATCTGTCACCCCACCCGTCCAAACTTGCAACTAGGGCACCAATAGTGCCATTAGATAAATGAATACATTGATGCTCCCCAAGGCTACAAACCTAAAGAAAAGAGGTCATTCTCTGTGTCTGTTTGCTTGCAAAGGGACGCAGTGCTTCGCAATCCAAAAATGTACATGTAGTCTGCAGTCACCTGATTCAGAGTGCCTTCACAGCCTTTATCCATTACACTTGGGTGTTGCAGCACAACAGGCCTCTGCTTACCAAGAGAAAAAGCCTTGCAAACACAATACAAGGCTTGTTCTTGGTATTAAGCTACAGACTGAACAGGGAGGACACACTGAGCATGTGAAACTGTGAGTGTTTTCAGCGAGTTACCACCGCGGTTCAAACAAGAGCATAATCTCACTGTGTACCAAAGCGCATAACAATGCAGTTCAGAGTCGCTGGTAATATGCAAATCAGACAGTTACCAAAATAATTAGATACAGTAGTACCGTATTGGCCCGAATATAAGACGACCCTGATTACAAGACGACCCCCCTTTTTCCAGATGTACCTTTTGGAAAAAGGCTTTTTAAAAACCAAATCTTGTTTTTTTTTTTTTTTTTCTCAGTAAAGCCACATTTTGTCTTCAATTATTTTTATATTGCATATTTTTCCTATTTTAATTTTTGTTTTGAATGTATGGTAAAAACTGGTAAAATGTACCAACAATCAACAAACATTTAAAAAAAAAAATACACTTTTTGATATACCATTAAAACAAAAACAGGTATCCCATCTGAATTAGGACATTTAGGCTATCCATCTAATAGTAGCCTACCAAAATCTTATTAACGGTAGAAGTTAAATCTTACTGTAGTCTTCAAATCTGGGTACTGTCTTACGTTTTAAAATCACAAAGGGAGTTTGGTCCCATCAGGCTAACGTGACAGTCACGACTCATGCACCTGTAAGCTTTTCTTTTTCTTTTGTTTTTACTCGTGATCTTTACAACACGCATTACATTACGTATTTCATGGCACACTCGTTTTATGCGTATTTGGCGCCACCTATTGTTGTGGGTGTATTATTGACATGTCAAAGTCTAGACCCTGAATATAAGACGACTGCGTTTTTTCAGATGTATTTCCAAGAAAAAAACATTGTCTTATATTCGGGTCAATACGGTATGTGAATGCAAAGAGGTTTACAAACTGTTGATATCACTTAAAGAGAACTTTGTCTAAATTGTTTGATGAAATACGTTTTGTTACTTTTAAGACGGAATGACGAGGTGTAATCACGTGTTTTTTTTTTTTGTTGTTGTTTTTTTTGCAGGATCGCAGCCGGTCCTTTGATGGTTTCAGCATGCACTCTCTAGAGAACTCTCTGATCGACATCATGAGAGCCGAGCAGGATTCCTTGAAAGGTACAATATTCACTGCCACCATTACAGATCCTGCCTCACACGAGTATGAAGTAATATATTGAGTATCTTTTACTAGTAAAAATCACCAAATTTCATAATCATCATTTAGAATTTTTAGGCAAGGCGCAGAAAGTCAGTTGTTCAAGTAATCTGCTAGTTTTGTTTCTTTTCTGCTAGTTTCATTTTATTGAAAGCAAACATTTAATATAGCATGTTTATGTATGGCTATGAATTTAAATGCATTATATTAAGAAAAATGCTACAAAACCTAATGTAGTCTTTGTTTACTTATGTTTGCTACCCTACAAATCATGTATGCAGTGTCGTTGTTGTTGTTGTTTTATGCTCCTTTGTTTAAGTTTAAAATCTCTGTTGAATTAGTTAGAATTAAATCTGGATTCACTGACAAACATGTTGTAATCTCAACATCATGCAGTGTATCATATGCCATCTTTGTTGCCTCAGTGCCTATGTTGCATCAGATCTGCAATATGCACTTTTTGTATTGAATTTGCTGCAGCTTATACTGCTTGGTGTTGTTGTGAAGAAAAGCTTCTCTGTCTTGCTTAGGAGGCAGAGTTCCTGAAGTCAAAATTAGACCTTTTTTTTTTTTTTGGACAAGGCAACAAAGCCAAGATGACAGCTGCCGTATCTTGCTATCTCACTCCCTAATTAGTTAATTAATTTAATTTATTTGTGTAGCACATTTTAAAAACAACTAGAGTTGGCCAAAGACATTCCAACAGCTTGCATAACAAAAATCCAAAAATGATAAAACACCCAACAAAAATACAATTTACAATAATTCTTCCACCATGGTCACCTCATTAATTGATTATCTTGTTCTCTTTGTAAGGGTGGCACACTGCCAACTAGCCTATGTCAAAACATATTTTAATTGAATCACAAAGTGATTATTCAGTGTGTTTTGCAATTGCATCGTTATTTTTATCCAAAGAACAAGGCCATGTGACCCAAAAAAGCAACTTCGTGTCACTGCAGATGCAAGTTCAGCTGAAGTGAGACAGTGCAAATCCCAGAGGCCGGAAATCATGGTTCCATTCAGGCTATTCTACAAATATCTTAAATGTATAATAAAAATATACCATAATTTCCATCAAACTCCAACATATGCCAAAAATATGTAACTGATGTTATTTCCATTCATCATAACAGCTGTGACAAATAAAAACGGTGCCCCATATTAATATTTTTCTGCATTCAAGTAACACACATACAACCCTTGCATTCTAAGTTTAGTTTTGGAATCTGTTACAGCTTAGTGATTTATAGATGCCATAGGATGAGTGTTTCAGAAATCACAGCCACGGAATAAGGTGGGCATGGAGATGCTCTCACAATATATCACCTAAGCTCCCTTCAGGATTTGAAGGCTAATCTAGGACAAACACTGGAGAGTTGGACATGTTGTTTCTGCACAGACCTGGTTTGGTTATTTTCACATAGTTGCATGCTATTTTTATAAAAAAAAAAAAAAAAAACCCCATAACATTAATAATGCTTAATATTATAGGATTTAAGAAATTATATATTTGAAAAGCACAACGGTGATGAACCAAAAGATTTTTCATGGCTTGCTTGTTCTGTGTGAAGTGGGTTACGTTATGCTTTCCAATACTTGTAGACTTTGATATGTTATTGTGCATTTAATACAAGTATCATCCATTTTACTAACAGTGTTTTAAAGGGGTCATGAACTGAGAAATCAAAATTCCCTTGATCTTTTGACATATAAGAGGTCATTGTACTATAAAAGCATACTGTAAGTTTCAGAACTCAACTTTCTCGTTAGTCTAAAATCAGCCTATCTTGAAGCCAATCTGCTAAAATGGCAGGTTGTGGAATGAGCCACTTTATGATGTAATAGTGTGGCTAAACACTGCCTCCGGTGAAGATGATCAACGCCTGCTTCTACATCACTGCCTGTTTAGCCCCGCTCACGATTTGCGCATATAGTGTAAATAATGAGAGAGGCAAACACAGGTCTACGCAGAAACCAAATGATAAAGATGCTCCGCTGTTCAGTGCCAAGCTATTGCCGCAGGGTTTTCAGAAAGATTGAAACTAAAAGACAATGCCGTGCTGAATATATTGGATCTGACAGTATTGTCGCACCACACAAGTGTGAGTGATCGTTTTTATTATGTGGTCACTATTGCTTTGTCTGTTATTACAGGTTGTTTGATACGTACTGAGTATTTCTGCGTTTTTAACCTAAATCACAGCAGCGTCCGTCTGTGAAGGCTGTCAAACACACACAACTGTTAGTTAATCACAGCAGTGGCGTTTACTTCCGAGTCTACAGTCCACCACATCTATTCAAACAGAGCGTTCTGATGAGGGGCTCGAAACAGGATTATAAATGGACATCAGAGAACAGTACAAAATAAAAAAACAAAGGCAGTCCGTGACCCCTTTAAACGTTTTGATTGCATCTGATAGAAATTTCTAACTCTAAGTTTATTCTGTCTTATTTCACATGCAGCAAGGAATTACGGGAGGCGGCGAGGTAAAGATCTCAGAAGTGTCTGTCGGTTCATGTTATTTCAAGTTACAACATGCCTTTGTGTCAAATTGTGTTTGTTGCCAGGCTAGGTTTTTGTACTTTGTGTTGTGCTCTCGCATTGTATTCAAATGAAGAAGGATGCTAATCGCTACTCTACAAAATCTATAGCCACTTTTAGATTTGTTAGGTGACTTCAGCACCAGTGCCACTAAATGGCCTTTGTGGCTATTGTGTGACAGGTCACTCATCGTTGTTTCCCATGGAGGATGAGCGGACTTACGGAGAGGATGACCGGTCTGATCAGAGTCTGAGTGGACTGGGCTCACCACACAGTTTCCCTCACCAAAACGGCGAACGCATTGAGCGCTATTCTCGCAAGGTCTTTGTCGGTGGCCTACCTCCGGACATAGATGAAGGTACTAAGTGATAAGAAGTGTTGCTCTCCAGGTTTTTTAAAAATGTGCATCAACCACAAATAAACACGTCATATGTATTGTGTATAACATTTCAGATGAGATCACCGCCAGTTTCCGACGCTTTGGACATTTGTTTGTGGACTGGCCTCACAAAGCAGAGAGCAAATCTTATTTTCCACCGAAAGGTGAGTTTCAGAGTCGTTTGCACGGACGTTTATTAAGAAAATGAGTCATGCAGATATCAACTTCTCTCATTTCAGCAGATGAATTCTGTACTCCTAAGTGGGTGCGCATACGGCACACCCATTGTTTAAAGCTGAGCTCCAGATGAATATCATCAGTGGGGCCTAAGCAAAGGCTACAGGTCAAGGTTATTGAAAGTGACTGCTGGTTGCTTCTTACATGCATACCTTCAATGAACCCATTGTCCTGCAGGTTATGCGTTCCTTCTGTTTCAAGACGAGAGCGCGGTCCAGGCACTGATAGACGCTTGTATGGAAGAGGATGGGAAGCTCTATCTCTGTGTCTCTAGCCCTACAATCAAAGACAAGCCAGTAAGATATTAAAAGGCTGTATGTCTGCTGTTCCTGTGTGACATGTTTTAAAGCTCTTTTGCAAGTTGTGAAATAGCAGTAGAGCTTTTTAAAGTTAAATATAAACCTGAAAGTTGTAACCTGCTCCAGCAGTGTTTGCTGTATGGCACATGACAAGCTACTGATTCTCTTATATTCACTGTGTATCTTCAGGTCCAGATACGACCCTGGAATTTGAACGACAGTGACTTTGTGATGGATGGCTCTCAGCCCCTTGACCCCAGAAAAACAATCTTCGTTGGGGGAGTTCCACGACCTCTACGAGCTGGTTTGTTTGGATTTTAGATATTACCATGATCAAAAAAAAAGTTATTTAGTTGCCACAGCAACTAACTAGCACAGTGAGGTTTTAGTAGATTATTTACAGTGTTGTAACTAGGGCTGGGCGATATAGCTAACAAATGTATCAACGATATAAAATTTCATATAGTTCGGTATCGATAATTATTGAAATTTTTTTATAATCTTTTTTTTAAAACAAAGAGCAATAGGAAAAAATTTTTACATTTTAACCACTGTATTTTCAAATTAACTCAATTTATTGAGACAAACAGCAAATCATTTTTTGTTTTAACAGTCAAAAACAAAATAAAAATTAAACATATCTAATTTGTAATGTTTTATATGCAGATTAAATAGGTTAAACTTTTGGCTTGTCTCCCGAGGCCACAGGAGGGCGCAATGAGCAAAATAATGCAGCACATTAAATTGTCAACGCAAGGAAGTAACTGTCTATAAAAAAAAAAAACGTGCATTACGTCTAAATTAACTCCTATAAATCAAATATAATTTCGTAAATTGCATAAACAATTATGAACAAAACATCACGTATTTATGCATTACTTAATACAAAGAGCTGAATTGCCCATCACGCAGATTGCCTTTAAAAACATGAGATGCAGTGAAAAGGAATAAACCTCCACAAATTTGTGACATGTTTTCTAAAACTGTTTTAACTTTGCATGGCTTTGTATACATCTCTTGTGTGACGCGAGTGTAGCAGTCATATTTGTCCGTCTAGAAAATGCTGAATATGCATCTGTGTGAATGTCTTGGTTTCAGTTTTAACCTAATCAAGATCTTCTAGGCATTGAGCTACTATATTTCTCTAATATTTTGCAACTGCGCGTCTCGTGAGCTAGACTAACAAAACATTAAACTACAACGTCACTTACATCGTCATCACCGCATCTCGTGCTCCACTGATGACGCTCCCTGACGCACATCTAACATTGGATTGTACTATTTTTGCATTCAAATGCAAATGTTTATTTTAAATTCGACTAATATTCATTCTTTACTCCCAATCCCCAGCACAGGCAGGCACAGCACTCGTGTTCGTGTTTGTGTGTGCTGTCTGCGTCACTCATAGCACGTGCACTATATAGAAAAATGTTATATCGTTATCGAAGAAGGTGTACCGTCGATAAATATCGATACCGTTTTATCGCCCAGGCCTAGTTGTAACAATCATCTAGTAAATTTTCTCTGACAGAATACAGGCTTGTTGCAAGTATGATTGTTGCATGATGTAATTAATGTTGAGAGTTTTTGAAAGCCATTTTAAAGATATTATTCATTTGTTTTACCCCCATGACAGTGGAGCTCGCAATGATTATGGACAGACTGTACGGTGGGGTGTGCTATGCTGGCATTGACACTGACCCTGAGCTGAAGTATCCTAAAGGGGCTGGACGAGTGGCCTTCTCCAATCAGCAGAGCTACATTGCTGCTATCAGCGCTCGCTTTGTGCAGCTGCAACACGGAGAGATCGATAAACGGGTGAGAGAGGGGGTTGGATCTTCGAGCAGTGTAGTATGCAAACTGATACAGTCAAGTCCATTTTGCTTTACCGAATAAAGATCTTCAGCTTTCCATATATGCAATATTAGCACCATCTACTGCAGGGCTGGCAGTAATTTTATACGGCCCTCTGACTGAATCTGTTTCCTGATTGTTCTTGTGAACTGTCTAGTTCCTTCGCTTATAGATGTTTAGCCTGACTTGACTTTGGATTACTGTTCTATCTTTATTCTCTCGGAGCATCATCTTTTGTTTGTAATGGGTCACATTTTCACTTTAAACTGTTGAAGGCTATACACAAAGAGGCTGGAAATGTAAGGGTTTGAGCCTCGTTCATATGACTTCAATGTCAAGGTTTGCTATTTCACAGACTAATCTTAAATGGTTGCATGGCAAATGTGGATTCACAGTTACTCCTTTAACAAAATGCACAGTAACAACCAACAAGAGACCACAAGCTATTGTATGAATGACTTAAAATTCAATCATTCTGGAATGGATTTTATGGACTGGTTCTAACATTTAAGGCAAATCTTTGTGATTTAGTGGATCATACTATTAAAATCCTTTAGCGGTTCTCATCCTAACAATGCTCAGACACTGTAAGATTCAGGCTTACCTGAAGCATTCTATAAAGATTACTATTAAACTGCATCCGAGTTACCTATTACTTAACCAAGCATAAGATCTGAGGCAAGGCTAACGGACAAAAACTAAGAACCGTAGTGATGCAGGATGTGAATGTTTGTCGTGCTTGATGCAGAGTTTTTAGGTCAGGCAAACCAAAGTTGAGCCTTAGCGATGTCCTACTGTCTGTGATAAAATGTAGATTATATATATGTATATATATATATGATAGAAAACTTAAATTTAATTGGTTTGATGGGTTAAAAAAAATAAAATCTATTAACTTATTTATGATTCTTGTAATGGTTATGGCAGTAACTTTGGCTCATTTGTCAGGGATTTTGTGCTAAAAGCTAACTCGATGTTGTGGTATTTGCTAATGAGAAATTACCATGTGTTGCATTGATAGTGTTTTACTGCATGGGTTTTGCCATGGGTTCATTGGTGTTCTAACAGAGCATTGCAGTAGCTGAGTACATTTCAAAGAATTTGAAAAACAAATATAATTTTTTTACATGGTCTGCTGATTTTTGTACTGTGTTTTATAGCTAATTATTTTGTCATGGACGTAAAACCATTATGCACTACTTTTCTAAATATTGTTTTTCAAGTCACTTTTTTTCCACAAATGGAAAGTCCTTTTATGATAACTTTTTTTTTTTTCCACTTGTTGAATATAGATTTTGTACCTTTTGTTACTGAGAGATCTGGTTATAACGCAAGCATACCTTAAGGAAAAGAAAAAAGCTAATATCATTTTGTTTAGGTTTTTATGTATTTACATGCTGAAATCCCTAGATTGTCACATATATATATATATATATATATTTAGGTGACTGTATTGTTGAAACTAATATCTAATATTTGCAAAATGCAAACTGTTCTGTTCTGTCTTAATGGACAAAGTAAATATTGAATCTAGCATGACATAAATTCCTTAAAATGTGTGGTACATGTAGAACTATATACCTATCCAGTACCCACTATCAGTTACAAGAATGATGATACCGCCCTCATTATTGGCTGTAGAAAATAAAATAATTAACACTGTAAATTAAAGTAATGTTAGGATGCACCTTGTATCACAATGATGAATGTTCCATATTGAAATATCAATGTTTACTCTTATGTATAATTCTGAGAGACAACAGGTTAATTTATTCATTAGGCACGCATGAGCTAAATTAATATGTTAGGGTTTAATTATTGTCATTTGCTTTAATAGTAGTTTTGTTTCAACCCTTTCCCCACACTTTCAGTTATATGTACTTTGCCCATGCACAAACTGTGCATACCCCACTTTACTGTGTTTACTAGATGACAAAAAGAAGCATACGAGAGGGTGATTAGTCGAATATTGAATCAGGGTTTACTTGAATACACTTTCAAAATATTGACAGTGAGATCTGTGCAATACTTTTTCCCAGAGACCTTTACAGTGTACTACTAACATAACCACGTATGTGCAAATCCATTACTTTCAACCTGTCTCACCTCACAAACTCTCCTTCAGTTATTATAACCTTTATCATTCTCTGATTTATATAAAAAATACCACTGAAATTATAGGTGTTTTCACTTTTATGTATTCACATATTTTCCTACTTGAGTTCATGCTACTGTGATTACAATGTAAATATGAAGTGAATAATGTTTTAACCGTTTACTGATATATTTTTAATTGGAATGTAATACTTGTCATTTTGATTATAGTTTTTGATCAGTACACTTATCAGATTTTCTAGTTTTAATAATCGCTATATTGTGCTTCATGTCTACAGAAGGATAAGAAAAAATCGCAGAAAATTATCTATGTAACTGTTTATTTAAATTTGCATAGTTTATAACTGTATGGGAAGGTGTATTTATCAATAGAGTTTTATAAGAGGAATAATTTTTTTGCTATGTCATTTATAAGTTTTAATTTTTATATTTTAAATCCATATGGGAGTTATGTAAAGAGAAATATCATTTTATAGTTGGGTTAGTCATACATGTGCTTTGGTAGTTGAGTCTTGATTAGCCTATTTGCAGTTAAATATTTATAACAGAATGCTTAAAGTATTTGTAATGTGAAATGTTGAATGAATAAACTTGATTGCAGGAAACACTGTGGGTCTTAAGCTGTGAATATGAATCAAAATTATCAATGAAATCTTTGAAAGGAAATTTTGATCTTCATGTTGCTTTAATTTCGCTCAACCTACATAAAATCAAAGTGCAAGGCATCATCTTTGGACGGAGCACAATAGGAAATGCAGTAAGCTTCTGGCACAGCTATCAAATCTATTTTTAGCTTGTCTGATACAGCACGTGCTGCCTAAAAGACAGTGTTATGATTACCAGGAGGACATCTGGGTGAGACCTTGATTATTCTGGAATTGCTAAATTTGATTACTGTTTTTACTACAACATGAAGGTGTATCAATGGAGCTGCTGAGAAGGAAAGGCCTCACAGAGGTGCATCTAAACCAGGGGTGTCCAAACTCGGTCCTGGAGGGCCGGTGTCCTGCAGAGTTTAGCTCCAACTTGCCTCAACACACCTGCCTTCAAGTTTCTAGTATGCCTAGTAAGAGCTTGATTAGCTGGTTCAGGTGTGTTTAATTGGGGTTGGAGCTAAACTCTTCAGGACACAGGCCCTCCAGGACCGAGTTTGGGCACCCCTGATCTAAACCATTTATGCAGTTGCATTACTTGAAGCCCATCATGCTTCAGTGTTTATTATCTGTGAATCTACTGGTGCTGTATCATTTGTTTAGGTCTGAACAGGGCATCTAAACTTAGGCATTCTGCTTTAGATGCCACCTACACGATTACTGCAGAGGCACACAACAGCACCCCCTGGCGGTAATGGTGTGTATACCTCTGTATGTATATGTGTAGTATAATAAAAATTTAACTTAGTGTTTCGTTCATTCATATCACAGAAAGAATCTGAACTTTGAAGGAATTTCAGCGTGTAAATGAGAATGAATATGCTTTATATGTGTATTTTTGTTATTAATTTCATTACTTTTCGCCATGCTTTATATGAAATAACTTACAATGCAACTGCTGGGACAGTTCATTCTGGTGCATCTCAAGGGCAACAGTGATGAGTGTAAAGGAAATCTGAAATGAAAGGAGCATTTTGTCATCATTTATTCATCAGCATGTCGTCGTCTTCAAACCTGTGCCATTGGCACCATATTTAAAAGCTAGAGAATAAGATTTTGAATGAATAATGACTTTGATCATGTTCACACAAATCTGCTTTATGCACACGACTTTGAATATAGTACACAGAACACAAAAGAAGCAGAATGACAGCCTATGCTAACAATTAGCTTTCATTGTACTGAAAAAATTATTCAATCTTTTGCCTTCCACAAATGAAATGGTGTGGAATACGAAACATCAGGGTGAAAAAAAAAATTAACGAACTAGCTTTTTTATTTTGTTGGGTTAACTGTTCCTTAAAGAGCCTGTCGGGTCGTTTGCATATCGCTTCCCTGTTGAAAAAACCAGCATATGATGGTTAGGTATGTTTTGACGCTGGGATGCTGGTTTATGCTGGTCCTTTGCTGGTTTATGCTGGTCCTTTGCTGGTTTAAGCTGGTCCTTTGCTGGTTTATGCTGGTCCTTTTGCTGGTTTATGCTGGTCCTTTGCCAGCACATGACCAGCATAAACCAGCAAAAGGACCAGCATAAACCAGCAAAGGACCAGGTTAAACCAGCATCCCAGCGTCAAAACATACCTAACCAGCATATGCTGTTTTTTTCAACAGGGTTATAGTTGCTGCATATACCTCCATTTAATCCTGACGTGACAGTTGCTGAGCTCGACCTCTTCAGGTGATAATAGTTCAATGTAAAAAGTTTCACTTTAGTTACTGAAACAAAGATTTTTTTTTTTTTTAATAGGCTAACCTAAGCTTAAGCTAACCTTTCCGTAAATTACTCTACGTACCGCGCTTCGACACGCAGTCTTCTCAAATTGACAAGGAATCGGAATATAACGAAGAAAATAGCAAACACCATAATATGAACGGGTTGACGCAAGAGGCGACTCCCTTACTCTTCCTTGGCATCAAAAGTCCCGAAATAACACCATACTTTTCGAGAAAGGTGAAAACAAACCATCTTTTGAGGATTCACGCGAATATGAGGGCCGCGCAGAGATTGACGATTAATCTGAGGGCATCAAAAGGCGGGAAATCAAAGCGCGCCAAACGCGTCACTCGTGGGCGTGGAGTACAGCCATACAAAACCAGTGGTATAAAGTGTTTGAGTAAATGTAATTAATTACTGTAGGCTACTTGAGTACATAGGCGTCAGATATGTGCCATTAATTTGAAGTTATAGCTTAGTGTGAGTGCATATTATTTCTTATAGAAGCTATCTATATGCTTTATATTATTTCTTGTGATTAAGCTCCGTTTTTGTAACTGACGATCGGGAGAAATGTGAATTATTCGTTGGATTTTAACTAATCTTAAGAC